ATATTTTTATTTCAATTTGACTAATTCGATTTATGTCTGTCTTTCCAAATCCTCACACTTTCTCCTTTTTTCTTGTTATTTCTTTTGAAGCATTGATAGTTTTTAACGATCAGTTTAACCCTTAGGTTTTTTAACACCAATAAATGATATATTTTTATCCTATTTAATTATGGAATATCTATCTTTGTAACGGATAGTTTATCGACTTTTCTTTTTTAGAATTATCTATTGTTAAATGTATATTCTCCAACGGTTAATTTCATATTTTTTATTTGAAATCTCCATCTTTGTGACGGATTGTCTAAATAAAAATTATTGAATTAAATTCCTTCCAACAGTTAGTTTAACTACTGGTGTTTTTACACCTACAAATAGCTCGTTCCCAACGACTAGTTTAACAACCAGTATTTTGTACTTGTAACAGGTTAGTCTTCAACGGCTAGTTCAACAAATTGTATTTTTCATCTATACATAACTACATGTTACATATTTTCTCTTTCTGAGTAATGGCTACATTCAAAAGTGTAGTCTAACAACTAGTTTCTTAGATCTATGTATACTTGTCACATGTGAAAGACAAGAATATGCTTGAGTTTAATTGTGTTTGCATCTGTGAGATTCTTTGTAAACTTATATAGAATTAGAATTTTTTTTTGCTAGCAAGTGAGATAAATCTCTTCATCTCTTAGGTGAGTAACTTTTAGTAAACTCGTAAGAAATAAATTATCTTATATATGGTGTGCGATTTTTTAATTATCATTTTATTGTATATAATTTTATTTATTTGATAGGTACTCTATAAGTAAGAGTATTTTATTTATTATTTGGAAAAGCCATATATTATTTAATTATTTCTTTAATAAATTAAGAGAACAGATGTAGAAGTATTATATTGGATGATTTTATATCTATTATGATATTATTAGAAGTCAATAATTTCTTTATATGTTTTGCACGCTTGTTGCACGTGAATGTTGCAAAGAGTAAGGGAAAAAATAATTAATTAAAGATTCAATATCCGTGATTTATATTTTTGTGAAAACCATTATACAATCGATATATTTTTGTGTCAATTTGACTGATTTGTTTATGTATGTCTTTCCATATCCTCACGTCTTCTCATTTTTCTCGTTCTTCCTTTTGAAGCATTAACTAGTTTTCAACAGTTGGTTTAACTCTTAGTTTTTTTAACAATAGCAAAAAATATATTTTTTATGCTATTTAATTATGAAATTTCTATCTTTGTAATAGTTAGTGACTTTTATTTTTTGAATTATCTATTGTTAAATAACTATTCTCCAATGGTTGGTATTTCATTATTGTTGAATTTTCTCTTTCTTGATGGCTAGGTTGACATCTAGTTCTTTAGATCTAAAAACATGTGTGTGATAAGGAAGCTGAGAAAATAATCTTGATTTTAATTATTTTGTATTTTTTAGATACGTTGTAAACTTAGATAGAATTGGTGGTTTTCAAGTTAGGAAGTTTATTTCATATCTTTGTAATGGATAGTTTAATGACTTTTCCTTTTTTGAATTATCTATTGTTAAATGGCTATGCTCTAACAATTAATTTAATGGTTGGTATTTTGTTGTCTTTGAATTTTCTCTTTTTTTTTATGGTTAGATTAACGACTTGTCCTTTAGATCTAAAAACAAGGAAGTTGAGAATAAGCTTGATTTCAGGTGTTTTGTATTTTTAAGTACGTTGTAAACTTAGATAGAGTTAGTGTTTTTCAAGTTAACAAATTTATTCTTGTAAACTCATAAGATTTTAATTGTCTTCTTTATGAGAATATTTTTTCCAAAAATTCTTTTGGTTTAAGAATGAATAGTTTTAGTTTTCTTAATAATGAATAATATCTACCCGTTAGTTTAACTACTAATTCTCTAGATATATATAAATCTATGTAATAATGAAGACAAGAGAGTTCAAATTTTTTTTTGGAGACAATTTGCAAATTTAGATAGAGTTGGTGGCTTTCTACTTATATTTTTCTTTTTCTATTTTGCGAAAAGTGTCATCGTTTTTCACCTTTTTTGTTTCAAATGGACACATTTGCTCTTAGTCTATCTTCCTAAAACTCCACACTTTCCTTTAAAGTCTATGTTTTGACACCAATAAATATCTTGGTTGTCACATTTTGTAATTATAAAATCTCTGTCTTTGTAACATATTGTTTAATGGATAGTTATTGAATCGTGTCTTTTAAATTTCAAACGGTTAGTCCCTAACTTCTAGTGTAATAACCGGTGTTTTGCACCTGTAAATGGTTAGAGACTAACGGGTAGTCAAACGAATAGTTTTTTTCATCTATACATGACTAAACATTATGAATTTTCTCGTTCTTAATAATCACTACTACTAGTTCCTTAGATTTATAAGTATATGTCTAACGTTAAAGACTATATTAAATTTGAGTTCAATTGTTTTACATCTATGAAATTCTCTATAAACTCATACAAAACTTGTGATTTTTTAAAATAGTGAGTGAGATTCATCTCTTGGCGAGTAACTTCTAATAACTTGCAAGAGATAAATTGTCTTTTGGTGTGAGATTTTTCAAATATTGTTTTGTTGTATGTTTTGCATGATATAAAAATCACATCAATGAAACCTTAGGGTCTTGATTGTCATATTTCTATCATCTATTCAATTTAAATTTATTTTCATGGAGGTAGTCTATGAGTAAAAGTATTTAAGTATTATTTTGAAATTTCATATATTATATAGTTATTTTTTTTGGTAAATTAAACGGACGTATGTAAAATTATTTTATTAAATGATCTACGTTTATTTTTTCTCCTTCGACACTATTAGAACCTGACAACCACTTTATATGTTTTGCACGTTCGTTGCACGTGAATATTTCCAAGGGAAGAAAAAAAATATGATTCATTAAAGATGCAATATCTTTGTTTTTCATTTTTAGGGAAACTGTTATACAACCTCCACATTTTTAAATTTAATTTTACTCTTTTGCTTTGTATCTATCTTTATAAATCCTCACACCTTCAATTTCTTTTTTTTCCTTTTGAAGCATTGGCTAGTTTCCAACGGTCAGTTGAATCGTCAGTGTTTTTTACACCTACAAATAAATTGGTTTTTACGTTATGTAATTATGGAATGTTTATTTTTGTAACATATAGTTCAGTGATTAGTTTTTTTTTATGTTATGTAATTATGGAATTTTTATTTTCGTAACGGATAGTTCAGTGATTAGTTTTTTTTTTTTGAAATATTTCTTTTTAAATGGCTATTCTTTAACGGTTAGCTTAATGATTGGTATTTCAAAATTTTTGTATTTTCTCTTGATATAATGACTATTCTCTAATGGTTAGTTTAACGGCTAGTTCTTTATATCTATAAATACATATAAGATGAGGAAGACGATAATAAGCTTGAATTCAGTTGTTCTGTATTTCTGAGATACATTGTAAACTTGCATAGAGTTGGTGGTTTTCATGCTAGTGTGCTTATTCTAATAAACTTGTAAGCGTTTAATCGTCTTTTTTGTGAAAATATTTTTTTCATAATTATTTTTGTGTAATACATTTGGTATAAAAACTATATCAATGGTTATTTTTTTTCCAACATTTTGTTTCTTTTAGCTATTGAATTTACTTTACTTTCTCTGTGTGGTTACCTATGAGCAGAAAGTGAGTTGTGTATTACTAAGGAAAGCCATACGTTATTGTTGCGCGTTTATAAAATTGATAACATGCATAGATTGTTTCATTAAATAATCTACATTATTTTTCACTCTCACATTTCTAACGCTTATTCTTCTTGCGCACATGTAATTTGCACGAACGTTGCACGTGAATGTCGCTAAGAGTTAGAAAAAGAAAATGATTTGATTTATTGCAATATCTTTTTTGGGAAGCATCGCACAATCTTTCACATTTTTGTTTTTGTTTGACTCCTCTCTAAATCCCCCACACCACCCTTTTTTCATTGTTTTCTCTATACTAGTGTATATTGTTGTTGTTAGGAATTTATAGTTTGCCTTAGTGGACATAGAATTTATATGTGCATTTAAGGCCTAAAATGGAGAATAGTTAGAAAAAGGATTGCTTTTAAGGTACCCCTTTGGAGTTATATTGCCCGCACTTACCACTTTTTCTTCTATTGGGCAGAATCACATTAAGAAGTGGAGTACGCAGTGTTTGGGGGTGAGACTGAAACCATGGCTGAGGCTGCAACAATGTTTACTAATGAAGAATTAAAGGACATCCTTTGGGTGACAAGAGAGCCAGGTTACATTGAGGTTAGGTGTGGGTGCAGTAACAAAAAATATGGTGACACAGAAGGTGTGCTTAGGATTTTTGCTGAGGGGAAACTTGAGATAGACTGCAAGTGCCAGCTTAACTGCCCAAAAGGCATCTCTCTCTCTCTCTCTCTCCCGTATATTATCCCTCCAAGATCGGTCGATGGTGTGAAAACACTCCCTAATGTCGAATTCCAAAAACCATCGAAAGGTTCCCCACTCTTCTTTGATCCATCTTAGGACTGAGTGGCAGTCTCGACCTGAGCAGAAGTGCGATGTGTCTGGAAACTCGGGTCATGCCAGCATTTAATTGTTATGATGGCTTTGACATTAATCACCAAGTTGTTGAACACTGTTTTCCAACTGGTATTAAATTACCTTGATTGGATTTTGCATAAATGAAACTTAAAATGCCGAAGACAAACTTCCAAAATCTTCCTTAAATGATTTAAAAAAAAACCTATTCGGACATATGAAACTATGTAATACAATTCTAGACAGTGGTGGTGTTTTTCTCCAATTTACTTTTGTGTCTGTGCTTCATACTGATGGATAGTTAATGTGATGAGCAGAGAAAGTATCACCAGCTGACTTTGCAAAACATGTTGGGAGAAAACTGGCGGTCACAAACTGGAAGAGCCAAATATGGGTTACCAATACTGAAGGGAGCAGGATAAACCTGTGGAGGACTTGTTTGCTGAGGTACCACAAAGAGACATTTCACCGACCGATGCGAGGACTAACTGTTCACCGGGATGAGTTCATCAATTGCTCCAGATGCGATAAAGAGCGTCGCTTTAGTCTTCGAAGCAACGAGCAATGCAGGATCTACCATGACGCCTTGGCTAATAAGAACTGGACCTGTTCTGATATGCCCAATGATCAGTAAGTTCATCTATGTGTGTGTGTATACCCTCGTCACTTCTTTATGTATTGCACCCCGACAAACCCAATTTGTCTTTAAAATTCAGTGAAGTGGAACTGTGAAAGGAAGTGGTGATTATCTCCAGCTTCTAAGTTTTAGATTCGCAAGAGACGCATTGGTTGATGCCATGTGTATAATTTATGGGTGATTATTCACATCCCGTGTTTATGTAGAAGTCAAACGTCTAAACTTAGAAGGTTTCTCGGTTATAGAGAAAAAGAGAGTAAAAGTGAACGTAGAAACAAAAACAAATCAGCAGCAGTTAATGATTTCAAGACAACAAGAGAGATCAAATTCAACTCTCTGCACACGCACACATTTTTCACATTATCAGTAGCTGCAGTTTATAACAGAAAGCGATTTTGCTTTGTCGTTCTAGAATGACTTGTGAAGATGTAGAGGAGAGGAAAAGCAGGAAGGCGTGTAGGGGTTGTCCTGAGAATGCTGCATGCAAGGGTTGCATCAGGTGTGTTTGCTTCGGCTGTTCCATGTGCCGCTTCCCCGATTGCACCTGCCGCACCTGTGTTGATTTCATCCAGAATGCAAACCCTGACAACTAAATGGAACACCAGAATGAAGACGATTCAGAAAACTTTTGGAGCAATGTTTTACATTTCCCAGTCTTTTTTTTAGCATTTTCGTTTGAACTTTCTTGGCTTTAAGTATTAGTTTCAGGTTCTGTTATTGATGTTTGGTAACATTTGCAAAATTTTATTGTGGAATTGTGTTTGTTTCCTTTACTTTGAAATGGAAGTTTGGGTAGCTGCATATGGAATTGTTGAGAAGAGCTCCTTTGTGGGTACTCATTTAACTGGCTAAGGCTCACCAGAAAACAGAATTAGATAGCAAACCTGGTTTTCATTTCCGAATCACAGCTCCTGTGTCAAAAAATCCATTAGTTTCTTGGATAATCGATCAAAGTCATATCATTTGCTACAAAAAAGAAGAGGGGTATGATCTCCGCATCCAATCTTTTTCTTATACGTCCTCATCTGTCATGTCTATTTCCCTCTCCTTTGATTTAGAGGTTTGGAAATTGGTGATGTAATCAGATGATTTTTCCTTTCTCACTTTCCTTCTCCTTAAATCTGCACTTACATGTGTGTTTCAAAAGATCATTTGTACAAATGAGTGTTATATGTAATGTATCCAGTTCACTCTGTCAAACACCCTCATTAATTGGATAAAGATCAAACTAGATTAACCAGTAGCATTCTGATTCTAGTGTTAATAATCACATTGGCGTTGCCATATTCTAAAGAAGTTAAAAGAATAAGCAAATGAAAATGTAAAGGGATACCTGAGTCAAACTCCAAGAAATTGATTGCTTTATGAATCGGTGAATAACCCCTTCGCCTAAAATATACACATACATAGTGCAGCTTAGCAAATGCATGCCAATGTTTTGAAATCCCTTTCCTGAATCATGAAGAGTGTTCGACTTCAAAATCCCCATGCTGATAACCAAGACGCTTGAAAAGGAATGCACTGAGAACAACAGCAAGTCTATAAAGCACTTTGTTGCCCAAAAGAAATGCTAGTCCGACCCCTGCCTCTTCGTGCATTGGCAATGTTAGCAATTAAAGAGTTGCCTAAGAGTACTAAAGCATTAGCTCCCATTAGCTTCAAGCCAAAATTCTTCAACAAATATGTTAGTTTTCTCTCATTTCGTCCAGTCACCAACTGCAATCCATCTGCCTGTTCACGGGATAAGACTGCATAAAGTTGCACTGGTTGGTTCAAGTTATGTTCAAAATTGTTCTCTGTTTCCTTTTTGTGAAACTGTTCACTATCGAAATTTTGGAAGTGAAAAGTAACTCTCATAAGCCCCATTGATTTCGGATCTTCTGTCAAAGGATCAAATACGAACAAAAACTGCCCAAATGACATATCAGGCTTCTTGAACAAATCGACAAGCATATCACTGTTAGGCCCAGTATTTTTTTGTATCCACTTCCTCGGACAACTTTGCCGACCCCTGATGGCTCGTAAAATGCATGAAGCTTCTCTTAGGCCACTCAAGTAGGCACCATGCATGGTGGCAGGGTGATGCCGATTCGTGGCCTCCCCAGCAAAGAATAGCCGGTCTCCCACACTTTCTGCAAGTATATCATAATCGCTGCCAGAGGACTTTGTTCTGACATGAGAGTATGAGCCATAAGATAGGGGATCAGTGCCCCATCTTGTGCATATGGACTGTATGGGATTGGGCACTTCAATGCCTTTCGGACCATAAATACCTGTGAAAATAGCCATATAAAACAAGAAAGTAGACTTGGTGGAAGTTCTCTTAAAGGAGAACCCACCATTAAGGGAAGGAAAACAAAGAAAATTAAAAGCACTGATCATTTATCACCTTTCTAAACATGTGCAGTACCTTTGAGGATGCTTAAAACTTGATGAAGCAAGGTGGATGGATCCCTGTATTCAAAATATTGTGCAGCTTCCCCAGCTACCAGTGCAACAAGTGCTGGACCGCCAGAAACAGTATGGTAACTATAAAACAAAAAGAATTCTCCCCTTGTATGGCTGTACTTGCTGAGACAGCCAAACGTGTCCAGGTCTTCTCCCCAAAAAGCATGAGGGAATACCATTGCAACCTTGTTCAGTAATCCAAATCCCAGTCTATCAATTGCAGCAAGCTTTTTTTCAGGTAATTCTGGTTCAAATCGGATTGTCCTTTTCTTTAGGACCCCTAGTGGAACAGTGCACAGGACCATATCTGCTTGGAACATTTGCTCCCCCGCAATCACCTCAACACCTTCACTCCCATACCTAATGGTCCGAACAGTTTTCCCATAGAAAATAGGAACTCCTTCACATAATGCTTTTACTAATCTCCAATTTCCACCAGCAAGAAAGCAATGATCCCCACCCATTTCATAAGGATCATCCTGATCCCAGTAGGCAGCAGAAAGATTTGTAAGGCATCCAGCATTTGCATATTCCAAGTTTGCAAAATGCCAATCTAGGAGTTGTCTTTCGTCAGTACTTCCAGCCACAGCATACAGTTGTCTAAGTGTCTCCAAAACTGAACCCAGAGAAATATTATTTGCAAATCCACCCATCATTTGTCTCAATTGGGTGACTTTATCGAGTAGTTTATTAAAGATGAGTTCAACCTTGGTATCAATTTCCTCATCAACAGGTGCCCCATCAGGCTTGTACAAAGGGCATTTATCTCTAACCTTGTGAAGAGGTATGGAAAGTTGCCTAGCCAAAACTCCCAGAGGATTGGCATGGATACCGGTAATAACACTTCCACCAAGATCTACGGCAGCAAAGTTCCCCTTTCTACCCATCTTCTGAGTGTAAACCCTCCCCCCAGGTCGGTTCCGGCCTTCAAGGACAACAACCTTGAACCTAAATGACAACAGCTGCCTAGCTGCTGCTAACCCAGCAAGTCCTGCACCAACAATTATTACAGAACCTTCACTGGCCTCCTCAGGAATCAGAGCCGTGAACGGCGGAGAAACTCCAAAATTTATGTATCCATTATACAAAAGAAAGTCATAAGCAGAAGATAATAAATGTTCATATTCACCACTCACAGTTTCCTTTATATGTTCTTTCGAAAGCCAAATCCGGACATTATCCCTCCACTTAGCAAGTATATGGTTCCTCACAACAATATAATCGTTTTGCTCTTTCCCACCTAATTCACTCACAACCCCAGCTTTGATTTCCTCTTCAAGCAACGCATCTATAGGAAAGCCAAGAGAGAGTGCTATCATGGCCTCAGTTTCAGTTTCTTTCTCCAAATCCTCCTTCGTTCTATTCCTTTTCCTCAAAGAAGCACCCAAATGCGTCTCTATAAACTCATCCATCAAATTCTCATCATAATTCCTGGAACCTGCTTTCTTTCTCAGCGGCCTCTTTGAGATGATACCATCCAAAACTGGGGTCTCCATAATTTTTTGTTCAAATTCCTCTCTCCAAACTTATTAATTCATATATACTGAGCTTTCAAGCCCACTAACAATCCAGCCCCACATTCCTAGAAAACCATTACAAGTTACCACATATTCCTTCTTATTCGAACAATCTTCAAACAAAATGAGTTCAATTACATAAATACAACTACTATACATAAATTCAAGTCTATACTCCAGACCCATTTCTAATTGGAACGTAAATCATTAAGCCAAACACAAGAAAAGTAGTTTTTCATCATCATAACTATGAGCTGCTGCAATTAATTATTCGGAGATACAAGCCAATGTACAAGTGAATTTGAGCCCCAATTCTCGATTTTATTTGGAAAAACTCAGAGCAACATTGCCGCGGGAATCGATAAATTGTTTATGCAAAACAGTCTTGAAAGACTGGAAGTAGTATACGTACCGTTTCATCGACGTTGAATAGCTGGCTTGGAATTATCACTGGAAATGGAAAGAATGTAGAATTAGGGTTTTTTTTTCTGAAAGACTCGATTGCCGTGTTGGGCGAGTTAACTCAGTGGAGTGAGAAATAAATTTCGTTGGAGGGAATTAGTTGCAAATTGCAGGACTTTGATGGGCTTTAGGAAATTTGTGGGCTATTTGGGCCGTTCAATATCGTTTGAGTTGGTGGGTCAAATGAACCCAACTTCCATTGTATACATGGAGTCTTACGGCTCATTAAGATATTAGCCTTTGTTCAAAAAAAAAAAAAATTAAGATATTAGCCATAATCCTATATGCATGAAGATACTATATAATACTAAAAATTGAATATTGATTCTATGATATTTATATTTTAAATAATAATTTAATTTTTTAAATTACGCAAGTTAAAATTAAAATAAAGACAAAAAGAGAGAGAGAGAGGTATATATGAATTGATAAAATTGTTTGACAATTGAGAGTGTGTTGATGTACTGATTGAATTGTCTGATGGGAGCCATACAGAGAAGATGATATTTTTGAGCAGAAAAAAAACTTAGAATGAATTTTTTATTATTGGATTAAAGTAAATGAAGATTGGATCAATATTAACCGTTGTTGAATAATCAATTTTCTAATAAAAATTCCCACAAAATTTGTATAATAAGTCATATGATAGAAGTCTAAATTCTCAAACGGTTATTACCGGAAAAAATGAAAAGAAAGGTGTACATGATATTAAATTATTTGTTAATTTGAGATTGTTGCATTATTTACATTATTTTGATATGGCTAGTCAACAAAATGAAATTAAAAATATAATACAATTTGATTTATTTGAGAGCTTGAACAACTTTAAAAAAAAAAGAAGAGAGAAAGCCTGAACAAGTCAAAATTGAACTAAGCTTTAACTTGTGGAATGAAGTAAAAAAACTTCAACACATTCTCGTAAGCTTAATGTTATCGAATTTTACAGAACATTTGAATCACATACGACTTATACCAAGATGATTTGCCATATCATAAACCCTTATTGGTTATATGCTATGTTGCATGGAGGATTTGAACTTGCTACCATGAATTGAAATGAGTTGTCCACCATGAATTCGAATGTGATACCTTATCATTATAATACATCATATTCTCCGACATGATTAGTACATTTGTCTCTAAAAATGCTCACGTTGATGATGACTTGGTCAAATTTTCCCAGGAAACGATAAGAAAAATTCCACAAGTTGCTAAGAAACTCGTTTGGAGCTTCGTGCATCCCACTTATCATGTGAATAAATTGTCAACAGTCACTAGAGTTTAGCCACATAACAAGCCCCAAAGCATTGACCAAAGAGTAAAAATTAAGCAAAAACATTCGAGAGACCAGCTAAGCCCTATGTTCCTAGCTAGTTCATATTAAAACAATATCTAAGGGTGAAGAACTATTTGGTAAACTCTATAAAAATGACAGGAAAAGTATGTATTAGGCCATCTTCAACTTCATCTAGCTTGAAGAAGAAGAAGACCATGAAGACTTCAAGCAACAGTAAATATTATTGCTTGTCCATTGTTCTGCTACACTTTGTAGCTGATTTGGTGCAGATCCATGGAGGTGTTATAACCTGCTACAATAGCAAAAGCCCATGCTTCCTCAAGCCTTTGACCTGCCCGAGTGAATGCCCCGCAACCTCACCGGCAAACCCGAAATCTAAAGTTTTCTATATCAACTGCAATTTACCCATATGCAAGGCTGAGTGCAAGAGTAAAAACATTTTCTCTCTCATTTCATGCTCAAACCTATATACTACTACTTTTTTTTCTTTCCTTCACTTTGTCGTGTTTTTGGAATTCAGGTAGTTGGGTCGGTGGATGTGGTTATTTTATACCAAACCATAATGTAGTGAATTATTTCAGCAAATTAGATTAAAATGGTATTATTTTATCAGGAGGCTAAGTTTTGACCATAGTATTCAAATTGGGGTTGTTCAAAATTTTGTCCACCTGACTCGTTCCACATTCTTCCTATTCAACCTACTCAGTTATTAAAATTTTGCAAAATTTTGGCCGGCTAATAAAATAAATTTTAGTATTCCATAAAACCACTAGTAAGAATGTAGAATACCCATAAAAATTTTGTATTCTTATACGACCTGCACATTTATTAATTTTTTTTAAAAAAATAATATATTTGTTTTATATGCTCGTATTATCAGATTTATTGTATTTTTTTTAATATTATTAATTTATTGTGTTGGTTTACATATTTTTATATTATATTTGCATAACCTAATTGTAAAAATAACTCAAAAATTTAGTAATTGAGTTGTTAAAATTATGGGTGTTCATCCTATTTTACAGGTAGAAAATATAGTCTTCCGTCTTTCTACCCGATATTTTGCGGAAGAATTTTTTTTTGGCATACCCTACTCAAGTAGGTGTGGTATTCTTACCCGATTAATCGGGTAAGAAGTTGGATTAACACTTTTACAGCTATTATTTTTTGTATCATTTTAACAATTAAATTAAATAACATGCACCAATTTAACAATACAATAAATTAATAACACTAAAACCTAAATCAACTACAACAACAATTACAATAAAATATAAGAAAACATGAACTTTAATCCATCATAATTGTTACACAAATACAATAATAATTATTTTTAAGTTTAAATCTTATGAAACACATTAAAATCATAACTGCTCAAATAAATTATCAGTTTACCACAAATTATATAACCTACACAAAAAATAAGTCTATGCTTTCGCAACTTAAACATCAACAACAATAACAAAGTGATAATATAAATTATATCACACAAATACTCTTATAATTACTAAAAAAATATAAAAAAATTAAATATATTTTTTTGTGGATAGGGTAGGGTAGAAATGCAAAAATTGATGGGTATTCCGCATTCTTACCCGATTTAATCGGAAAACTAAAAACTCTTCCGCATTTCTATCCGATTTTTGCGACTAGCCGTTCTATATGGTAGGATCGGGTTGGGCAGGATAGAAAATTGTGACCAATTAAAAATTTGAACACCCCTAGTTAAAATAACCCAAAAATTAATAACTTAACAACTAAAAATGTGTGAAATATTCTGCATTCTTGCTCGACTATCGAGCTGATTTTTTTGGACAGAATTTGACTTGAAATATTACCTAAAATCGGTTAGGGTTGGCCAAGAAATTGACCTTCCATAATTTATCGGCTCGGGCGAACAACCCTAGCTCAAATCACTATTGTGCTTTTGCATTATCTTTTAGTTAATGTGTTTGTGTTCTTGATCTTTCCTTTCTCTTTATACAAAAGATATGAAAATGTACGATGATTAGGTCGTGAAAGATTTCATGTCAAATTTTAGCACTTTCGTATCAAAAAATACTTCGCATATATTTGATCCATTTATTAATTAATGTTTAACGAATTGTGTCATATTGAACTTGTGTTGTTATAAACAATATATATTTGATATATAAATGAGTCATGTTGTATATTTTTTTTGATTGAGTTCACCCATATCGATTCATTTATTAATCGTGTCGTCCCATGCATTGAATAAACGTGCCTCAGAGAAAACATAAATCTTTTAATTTCGTGTTTGTGTTATATTTTAGTACTCCTAATGGTGATATAGACAGGAAGCCGAATTGCAATGGTCCTGGAGCTGCATGCTTGGATCCCCGATTCATCGGTGGAGATGGAGTTGTCTTCTACTTTCATGGCAAGAGCAACCACATTTCAGCTTAGTTTCTGATCTCAATCTCCAGATTAATGCCCGTTTCATAGGCCTAGGACCAGTGGGTCGACCCAGGGACTACACATGGATTCAAGCACTGGGACTCCTTTTCGACTCCCATACTTTCTCTGTTGAAGCCACCAAGGCAACAACATGGGACAATGAAGCTGACCATCTCAAATTCTCATACAATTGAGAGTCTCTGATCATACCAGTAGGCTATCCTTCCCTATGGAAATCACAACAAAATGGCGTCAAAGTAGAAAGAACATCAAATAAGAACAGTGTTCTAGTCACCCTCCCAGAGGTTGCAGAAATTTCAATAAATGTAGTGCCTGTGACAAAGGAAGATGACAGGATACACAATTATCAGATACCATCTGATGATTGCTATGCTCATTTGGAGGTACAGTTCAGATTCTATCTCGTCGAAGGTTGAAGGTGTACTTGGCCGGACTTACCAACCGGAGTTCAAGAATCCAGCAAAGCCAGGTGTCGCGATGCCGGTAGTGGGAGGGGAAGACAAGTACAGAACCACTTCTCTTCTGTCTGCAGATTGTAGTTCTTGTGTCTTCTCTCCAAACGAAGAAATGAATCGAGAGGAGTCAGTAGTGATAAACTATGGCTCCTTGGACTGTACTGGTGGAGCCAGCAGTGGGAATGGAATTGTTTGCAGGAAATGAGTGCTCATTCTTTCTGTTAAGAAATGAGTGGCATGTTCTTGTCCAGAGCTGTAAGTAATGCTTGTTAAGTTTATCTCAAGTAACAGATTATCGGTGGATGTCTTGTCCACTCGATCGTAATCTCTACTTCAATTTCATGGAAAGTTATAATACAAGAATAAGGCCCTTTTGTGCTAATTTTTTTCATTAATGCTATTGGGACATAATTTATAGATATAATTTGAGGACATAATGAGTTATCATTAATAAAATAATAGCGAAATGTATTTAATGATGAGTCATATTGTAGCATTAATGAATTCATTATCATATCATTGATGACAACACATTATGTCATCAAATTATGTTCATAAATTATGTCTCAATAGCATTACTCAATTTTTTTATGGCAGTTGTGTTCACTGTCACAAAATACGTGTTTGAGGTAATTTTTTGTGACGCCTATGTTTGCCGTCACAAAAAACGTATTTATATTAATATTTTGTTAATATTTGTGGCAGTTATTTCTTATGTCGTAAATAGTGTTGTAAACTCAAAAGAAATTTTTGTATTTGAGACAATTATTTTTTCTGCCTCAAATAATATTTTATAAATTCAAAAGAATTTTTTATATTTATGATAACTATTTTTTTATATTTATGATAGCTATATAATATTTCATAAAATATTAAAATGTTGTTTTAGATTAAAAAATATTTTATAGTTTAAAGAAAAAAAACTCTAAAAAAAAATTATATTGGCCACAACTATTTTTCATGCTACAAGTACTATTTTATAAAATTATGTAGTTTTACATCAAAATACAATTTCTAGTTCAAAGAAAAAAAAATTAAATTCTACAAAGTCAAATTTTTATATCAAAACTAAGGGTGTCAAAATATGACACGATCCGATAGTACGACATAAAATTAGTAGGTTTGAGTCTTGAAGTGACATGTTTAGTAAACAAATAGACCCAACACGATACAATTATAAACAAATCAAATATTGGTGAAATCAATTAAAAAAAATGTATACGATATGACTCGTTTATATACTATTTACATAATTGGACAAGTCATTCAAGAGAAATATTACGTGACCATTTGTTGATATATATTCTAATTTCTTTTAGTTTTTTATTGTATATATGTATATAAATATTATTTCACCATAGTAACAATAATTTTATATATTTTTTCAGATGTCACTAAGAGGGAAGATGGTCTGAGAAGGATATTCAACATTTTTTCATTAATTTCTTGTACTTATAAATCATTATGTTTTATAAAAGTGCATATTTTACATTTTGTTTAACTCAATATTGCTATATTTTTTAAAATGTTGGTTATATTTATTTTTGTGTTTATCTATATATTGAATTGAATAGTTGTACAGATACTAATGAGTTTTTGGTCTAATAGTATTCTTTACATTGTGAAAATTTTGTCTTAGTAAGATAAAGATTTAAGCTCCTTCCCCTTCCCTCTCCCTCTCCCCCTCTCCCTCCAAAAAAAAAAAAAAGTAGTACGGGGTGTATATATGCTTCCAAAAAAAAAAAGTAGTATGAAGTGAATATATGCATAAGGTATATAATATTGGTTACCAACGGTCTATAATAATTAACAAAAATTGTTTGTTTTTTTGTGGTGGATCATTACCGTCATAAATATATCTTCTATTTTTTATGACAGTCAAATATGGTATTTGAGACAGCACTTTTGCCGATGTGATAAAAACAAAAATGTTGAATTTTTTGTAACAACTTATTTACGATAGAATCTTACTGTTGTAAATATTATTTGAGACAGATTGTTGTTGCCATAAAAATCTTTTGAGACCATATTTATTATGGCGAAACAATGCCACCACAAAAAATATTTGTGACGACAAATAGATTTTTTATATTAACACTTTACCGTCATAAAAAATCATTTTTCTTGTAGTGTTATGTTTCTTATGCAAAAAAAGATTATTTCCTTTTCGAATATCAAAGTCATTCAAAATTTATGTTTTTTTATTTTTTATTTTTTGAATATCAGAGTCATTTGAAAATTACATGCACAACAAAGGATACCAATCAGAAAACCATCGTACAACATTTGAAACACAAAAAGAAGATAAACATCAGGGAAAGTTTTTAGAAAAGTAAGATTTATCGTTGATTATATTGCAATCACTATAACAATATTAATGATGAGCCTCATGGATTCAAGCAATTGTTGCTTGGCAGTTGCAAATTGAGCACCGCTAGATGATTCCTTCTTGTTCAAAAATTGAATTGTAGACCAATAAAATCAAGTACTTGGGACATATTGAGTACATATCATAGGTATAATTGGGACTGGTACGGCCACAATAGGACTATTGGGCCATGTTAGTACTAAGGTAACCCTTTAATTTTTTTTGATTAATTTTCATGATATTATTAAGTTGATCCCTTTAAACTATGAATCTTTTTTTTTTTTTGGGAACAAGTCCTTTGAACAGTACATGAAGAGGGGTGATGAAGTTTGAACCATATGTCTGCAACTTAAAGGTCCAACAGCAAGCTACGGAGTCATAAGACTTAGACCACTGTTGATGATCCTCATCTATGCATTTTTTCAATCTCGAAATTCCTAATTCTTTAGTACACTTTGTAAATATCTTGATTGAGCCCCTAGTTTTGAATTCATGGCTCCCCCCCAAAAATCAGAATGGGATACAAAAACCCTGAAATAAAGCTTGATTCAAAAAGAGTAATTGAAAATTTGAAATAACCAAATCTGATGATCCGGATGCACTTTGTTACCCAACCAATTTGGCTGGCTGCAAGTGACTATTGGGCCGATCCACCTCCAAGAAGATAAATCACGATCTCCCATGGTGAAGCCATCCACTACTTTACACACATCCGATCACTCATTAATCATAAATATCAGTTAAATTCTATAGTCACCAAATATAAGAATATAAATCAAGACGTTTGAGTTTATGTTTCATTTTAAGATATATAACGTCTGAGTGAGAACTTTGAGATTTACCAACAAACCCCCCTCCCCCACCCTGCACTTGCACCAGATGGGAGGGGTAATTGGGTATTGCATATATGTGTGTACTACTGATATTTTATAACGAGACTCAAACATGAATGGGAAGGGTGAGTCTAAAAGAACAGAAAGAAGAAGTTGGAAATGCCCTTATCAATTTGTTCAGGTCAAAAGTTTAATTTTTTTTTTAAGCAACAAGAGCCGGAGGAAGAAAAGACCTTTTGTTTCCAAACTGTGCCATTGAAATGAAAAATCTTATTCCAAAGTGAGCTAAGCTTATCTCATCATCAACCTTTTCTTCACACCAGAAGATAGGGACACAAGTTATAATCTTTGGAATCACAGAAGGTAACTCAAGTACTACCATATACAAGACACAAGCAGTAAAATCATAACTTCTAAATTTTAATTTTTGTAATTATTTTGAGTTAAATCACGAAAGATTTATCATTCATAAAACCCTAATCTCAATTTGAATAATCTGTGCTTGACTAAACCCTTGAAAGAATTAATCAAAATACATATATATTGGTTCCACCAACCCTGGCGGTTGATTTAAAAAAAAATTGTCATCTTTAGACAAGAAATTTCGATACTTAATAAAAGAGTATGGGAGATGACTAGTTGTGGAATTACTGTAGAACGTTGTTATACCAGCCCTTACCTGTTCAGAAGGATTCAAACGATACCCAAACCCCAACCCACCAAACGTTTAGAAGCAAAATTTGCCACAGCCAAATGAAGAAAACACAAATATCTACCCAAAGCTTCACTGCCTTTTTAAAGCACAAAAGAAGAAGATACAAATAGAGAAGAACTACACATGCCTGGATACTCACTCTAGCCCTATGGCTATCAACATTCATCTGTAAGATTTGAGAACAACGCCACAGAAAGTACAAACAATAGCTTTCCAAGATCTCCAGTAAAATGGGACGTAACAAAATCTGGTGGCGGTTCTCATATCAGCCACCCTCGCGCCACCCCCGCACCGCGAACACAACCCCGCCACGGGCTTGGTCCTCCTCATCTTCCTCTTTTGATCAACAAGAAAGCAGAAACAAACCATGGTCGACGTGTAGTTCCAAAGCTCTAAAGGGTGTAAAATGACAATGGTGAAGGTTTTTCTATAAAGCCATACGTGTCTTCACTATTTATACATGGAATGATGTTGAAGGTTGTACAAGTTGGGTTCGATCGACCGTGCGATGATTGCCACGTGTAGAGGCAATAGAAAAGTCAGCTCTCAATATTTGATCACGTATTTGTGGAGGGAAACCTGCTCGACTATCATGATAAACGTGTGGGTGGTTGCCACGTGTCCGGGACAGTTGGCTGTGTTAATGAGTCTTTCAAAAATTTAATATAGGTTTAATCCCAAAGGTATCAACCAACCTTAAAATAAGTTGGAAATTCAGACCACCAAGTAGGTGGTCTAATTAGGTATTGGTCGTACTCTTCAATTTGAAGATGGGAGTTCGGGTTTTAGATTTCCTATTAGGGTTCGGTAGTTAGTCGTTATGCTAGATTAGTTAGGTTTGGATCTGAAAAGTGTTCCAAACACAATTAAGAACCTTATAATTCCACCGGTGAGAGCCTAGGCAGGTGGTCGTTGGGCGATCTTCCTTGTCTCCCACCCCTTTTTTAAGTATCAAAAAAATTAAAAATTCATATGTTTTGAATTCAAATTTTGATAATTTTTTAAGGGTCAGACTTAAAAATTTATTCCTCATGTATATTTTAATCTCAATCTAGATGACTTGCATTTGACCGAATCGAAGAAATAATTAGTTTAAGAGTGCGTAAACTGATTTAGATATTCCTAACTATTAAACAAATTTTTTTTTGATAAATATTTAAAATCAAATAATGTGATATTTATCTTTATAAATATTCTAATTTCAAAGTAAATAATCTATTTTTGACCGAACGAAAGAAGAGATCCATAAACTAAACCAAATTAACCGATTGTTAAAAACAAATGAAAATCAATAGTGTTTCAATCAAATGTAAAGAGACAATCTAAATCGTTTAGTTCCATCGAATCTTATAATAGCCTGACTAAAATTGAATCAATTAATAATCTCAATCAATTGTACGTAGATGTGATTCCATCAATCAATTGAACATGGATGTGAACCCAAGTTCGAGGTATTATTAGGCACATCTTTACAATGTTATTAATCAAATATGATATTAAAAAGTAAAGGTAAATATCACATGCAGTCCTCAATCTTTATCTCTAATTTTAATTTGATCTTTGAATTTTTAATTATTTTTAATTAATTTTTTAATTAATAATTTCGTCACAATTAAGTTTTTTTTGTCAATTTTATCAAAATAAAAATATATGATTTAATGGTTAAAATGGATCAAATTGACTAATCTCTAGTTGACCTAATGATAAAAATAGATATAAGGATTTAATTTAGATAAAATTAATAATTGAGAGATGAAATTAGGATAATTCAAAATTCAAAAATCAAATTAAACTAAAAACGAAGTTTAAAATTTAATTATAATATTTACCCAAAAATATAAATAAAAATTTGATACCGTGTAAACCCATTTTATCATGTACCACGGTCAATTCACGAGGAATGGGCTGAAGAAGACGGTTGGCAGTGCAGAGAACAGGGATAACAATAATTGAGTTCCCATGATGAGGTTTTGGTCCCAATAGTCCTTCAAGAAATCATAAATGCCCACGTACGAGTGACTACGACATCCCAAAAAAAAAAAAAAAAAATTTGATTTCTTATTATTTTTATCATATTTAAATAATAATTTTTATAAAATAATAAATTAAATTTCGAATAATTAATCTATTTTTTAATTATTATTAGTTTATTCTATTAGTCTTTGAGTACTTAATTCATCAATATTTTAAACATTTGTACAACTAATTATATTATAGAATTATTAATTTTTATTTTTTTAAATAGATTGATTAGATAATTAATAATATTATTATATTATTGCATACTAAAAAATAAATTAATAAACTAAAATTTTTTCACCTGTAACGCACGTGTGCATTGCTAGTAGATATAAAAGATTGTATGTAACTGTATAACTAATAAATAAGTTCAAAAGAATTTAAAAGCTTTTATAAAAGAGTTCAAAATAAGTTAAAAGTCAAATAAGAGTAACAAAATAAAAATTAGTTGAAAATATGTAGGTAGATATAATTGACTTTATTATAATAATTAGAGATAAAATAAGAAATTAAAAGTTTTTCATAGATACTGATATTTATATGTAAAATATAGATTATGGTATCCTAAAAAATAGTAAAATAATATTTTTAACAATAATAAAAAAATATATATAAAAATTAGAGTTATGCTACTAAAATTATTTTTTCGTTACAATAGTTAAGTCCAAGGTAAAGATGCAATTAAAAATCCATAGTAGTAATATTTCACGGTATGAAGTCATGGGGTCATCTTATCCTCCTACAGTGTCAACAGTTCCTTTCCTTCCCAAATCATGCAATGGGTATATATATATTTTTTTTTCAAGAATGTTTGATTGAATTTACATGTACTTTGATTAATTCTTTTTTTAATTTGATTAAAGGTAGATCATTCATGTTAACATTAAAATATTAATTTTATTCATCATGATTTGATCTTAAGAAATTATCAACATTCAAATTCAAGAAATATGAATTTACATGTAATTTAATAATCTCGATACGATTATTAAATATGTCAAATTTGTATTTTGAAATTTTCAATACAAACTTAAAATCAATCCGATATAAAATGATCTAATCCGACACATTTAATACCTTTATCCATGGCCATAATCTCTGGCTGTATAGAGTTAGGTTTTCAGTAAATTGCCTATACCTTGGAGTCAAAAATTATATTTGATTTTACCAACTTTCAAAGCCCCTTAATGTCCCTGCGTTACTTAATTATTGGAAAATGGTCAAATTATTCTTTTCACTATTTTTCACAGTGATATGGCAAAATATTAGAAAAAATTTCTCACAAAAATGTGTTTCAATTAGGGTTTTCACATCGACTAATTTTCTCTTTAGTCCAGTTAAAAATAAACCATCTACATCGAAAATAAGATATTCATAATCTTTCATTGCCTGATTTCAAAAAATTATCAAAATTTAAATTCAAAACATCTCGTTATTATTATATTAAATTCTATCAATTTTAAGGTACGTAACCTATGAGTACATGACCATCATAGTGAGCCGTGCCCTTTGGCACCATGCATTCATGAGGAGAATGTCACCAAGTTGAGTTCGAACGCTTCCCGTCCTAGGAAAATACATGGAACCAACAACTGATATATCTGTCCACCCATAAAATAAATGGAAGTGTACTGATTTTCTCCAGCATTGTTAGTTTGTTACCATCCTCTTTCCGTATCCTCTCATGGTCCCATTTTGATACAAACATTTTTTTTTTTTGTGTTGAAATTTTGACAAACCAATTCACATTATTCTAGGCATGACATGGGCCCACAGATATTATTAATATAATTTTCATTAATAAAAGATCATCGATTTGGGAACGAATTCTCTTCACATGAATTTAAAAAATTAAATTTAAAAAAATAAAAATCTTTGAAAGCATAACTTAATTTCATCGTCGTCAATGTCAAATTTAGGGAATTTTCAAACCAGAGGGCCAATTCCCAGCGACCTATCATTGATGTCGGATACTATGAGTGATGTGCATTGGTCCCACACATCATATTCAAATTTAATATCTTTTTCTAGTTAGACAATGAACTTTAATTTGAAAACTTATTGTCAATAAAGTGGCCCATAACTAAGTTAGAGAATTCTACACGGAAAATAAACGTTGATCGAACCCAATTCTCTTGTTAGATTGGTCAATGTGAAACCTCAGACAGGGTATTGGTCACCATGGATATCCTTTCTGTGAACAATGATGATATGTATAATATCTTAAAATGCTTCTTGTTCGTGCTAATGAACACTCTAAAAGTAAAGATTGATTGGACTTGATTAGTCATTGACTGAGACATCAGTAGAACAATCAGTCATTAACTCCACCCCTACCTCCCACTTCTGACTAATTTGATCCAAGAATTTAGTTTTAACGGTAAAAAATTAGTTAATTTTTTGAATAAGATTAAAGGCGAAAGTTTATATAGTTCAAGAGTACTCATTTTTTTTTAAATGAAGAATCCATAGAACCGATACAAAATAATTTAAGAGTATAGAAGTCATCTCTCCATCATTGAGTCGATAACCTTATGATCTGTATATTAAAACGTTTGTGATTGTGATTCAAGAAGGTCGATTCCCACTTCAAGCAGTTCTTTTTCTTCAATTTTCCTCTTGATTTGTGTTTGAAGAGTTGAAAGATTCTCCAAGTAAGCCTAGCAAAAGGCCCAACACACATGGATTGGTGGCCTAAATGTCTGAAAAGACCATCCGACCAGGAACAATCCCGCACCCTTCCCTCCAATATGTGCAGGCCTGTAGGTTTTGGGTTACTGACAAGGGAGCGGGAAAGCCCAGGTCGACCAAATACTTTTCTGAGGTCTGGTCCACAAATAGAAAAAATAGTCTTGAAAATTTTGGATAGGTACATGGAGCCCAGCCCAATAATTGTAGCATAGAGATGGCAGTGAACCAGGGCAGGACAAGAGAATCATCTCTGCCTCTATACCCACTTCAAAAATATTTATCCACTCTAATCTATCCACGTTAGCTGAAAAAATTTTAATCCCCATTTTTCGTCTATACTATTATCTCTGGACATAACAATTAATTTCTATAATCTGTGTATATATTTACTGTCTAATACGGATATTATATTTTTGTTTCAAACAAAACAAATTTGTATAAATACTTATTTTTTCTCGACCAATGTGGGGTCCCTTTGAATCTTCACCTGTTTACAACTTGGACATTTTTTTGACATCCTATGATTCGTTGTCTTATTGTCCTCTTGTATTGCACCTAGTTATCTAACTTTTTTTTTTTGTCTTATTATTTTAGGTGAATGTCTTCCCTATTACCCAATCACACATTTAGACTTTACGCTGTAAAAAAATTCAATTCAAACCTGTGTGCAATTTCTCTCTCTCTCACACACCACAGAGACATGAAA